TCATATTGAAATATTTTCACACTCATTGCAAAAAAGTATAACTTGAGTTATTATTTACATTCAAGCTAATGTTCTCATAATTACTATTTGTATTTCTGGAATGAGGAGTTATTATTTACACTATATTCGGACTATTGTCAGTCCAAGCCTTACCTCACAATCAGTGGGGGGGTGTAAACAGTAGTGTCAGAGCTATGCCGCCGGAACTTTGTTCCTGGTAGGGCCACCCAAAGGCGGACAGGTCTGACACACACGCCGGCTAACAAGGGCTCTGGTGAAAATCCAAGGAGCGTCTGCATCGGGTAACCAGCGGCTTCTGGTCGTTCCTGTCTCTGCGTCTGTGGGAACCCTGCGGCAAGCAAGAACGTTATCCGAGTAGGCCTGGGTACCCTACTTCTGTAGTTTATCCCAAGAATCTTCTTCTCATAACAGGAAGAAGCCAGCTCAATCCGCCCAGGGTGAATGCCGCATCAGTACAGTACAGTATTGTCATCTTTGCTGTAGTTATCATAACATTTCAGCCATTGTGTCCTTCAGCCTTCCTTGGGTGTATATCTGTTGTAGCACACCTACAGACAATATAAGTATGTCCCCATTCACATAAATACAGTAGTAAATACTGTATATTGGTCCGCAGTTGGAGATTCATTGTGGAATTCACTTGACTTACTTCTAGCAGTTTACTACTACTATGCACCACTGGCGAATCTTATAAGTGTTGTTCTTGTCCTAAGTATTATCATTCATTACCAATCTTTGTTTGATTATTCTATTCAGTAACCTTCCCCAGGTTAGAACAAAATCGATCTGGATAAATTACAGGGAATTTTGAACTGAACACTTTATTCAATCTACATGAGTAGACTGTTCTCATTCTCTGGATACAGTCTATTTCTTATTTTTATTTAGCACTGTTCAGTTATTGCTCATCCGTTTCTACCGAGTGCAAGTACACACTGCTTGGATGAGGGATTGAACTCACAATCACTATGTCATTAAATTCACAAACCAAGTTTTAATCCACTAGACCACTGTCCTATAGGACAATTTACTGTAGTCAACTTGGAAAAAGGGGCACAACGGTCGAAACATTGTGATAACAACAACAAAGATGAGAGCAATAGTCTGAATATAAATAGTGTAAATAATGCCCTCAGGTTTGTTATAATTGTCACAATGTTTCTGCTGTTTTGACATCTAGCCTTCTTCAGGTATCTGGGTAAATTTCACTTGAATTTTGAACTTAACTCTTTATTCAATTTACAAACGTAGATTGTTTTCATTCCACTTTCCACATCTAGGAATATCTTGTTCTTTTTAGTATACACAGTTCATGTTGAAGAACAAGATGGGATACACACAGACATAAATAGCAGAACAAGAACAATCTCGCACTGTCATCCAGACACTGAATATTGCTGCCATATCCGGTCTGGTACTCCTGCTGTATATCTTAATGCAATTGATCCTAAACTGGCCTGTAGACTTCAGTTATTTTTTCACCATCTTTTCTACAAATATTTTCATGGCAACTGATCTGACAAACTTTTTCCCCTAAATCTGTCGGGTTTAGATCCCGGCTTGAAGCGATCAGATGTCTAGGCACACTGAAACTGTGAAACAGCAAATCAGTCTGTCTGTGGATGATGATATTAGATCTCAATAAAATGATTTAATCGGTCAAGTACTGTGGGGAGTAAGGAACATATTTGTAAGCAGTCACTATGACTGCTGATAATGCAAGACTCTCTTAGCAAGAATTGAGTTCTCTGAGTGACTGGTGTGTTTATGAAAAACTAAATATGTAAAAATTTGCCTTTCTCTCTGCTGGGCATCAATGGCCTAGGGGTTAGAATCTCCAACTGATACCAAATCGGTTGGGTTTTGGTTCCAGCCTGAAGTGATCAGATGTCTAGCCATACTGATGAGCTGTGAAACAGCAAAAGAGTCTGTGTATGACAATGACTTAATTACATAAATTTAAGTGTGCTGCTAGATTGGGAACTAGGTCTCATGATTTTACTGTTAAACGAGCTGGATGCAACCGCCACTTCTAATAGTTTCTTTTCTTGCACTTCTCACCTGTTGAACTACCTTCTGATTTCTTTCTTTCTCTACCACCTACAATATTCAAAAATTTAAATGCAACATCAATCACCATCTTCTATCTTCCTGAACCCTGTTCCATTATTGTCCTTTCCAGTCTTCTCACTAAAGTCTTCTTATTCTCTTTTACTCTCTGTAACCCTCTGCATCCTAGTGGCATTATCATATTGCTTTGAGTAAAATGATTAAAAAGATTAAACAGTTGAATTCAAAATTCTCAGAAGGTTTCCCGGATCAACAGATACCTCAAGTTCTGAATAGGCTGAAACATTGCGATAATATCAACAAAGATAAGGACATTATTTAAATTATTGACTTTTAAACTAAAAGATATATCCTCATTCCATAAATCAAACAGAAAATAGCTATGGTCATTGACTTAGTTTTGGCTGAAGGTCAAAAACATGAGGCACCCAGTGAGAACTCACTTGTACTGATCTGCTAAACTCAACTGATAACCATTACTCTGTGAGGTCCTCTATCCCACTCACTCTTCTCCTCTATCCTGCTATTACACACACTTTATCTTGCTATCACACACACTCTCCATCTCGCTATCACACTCGCACGCTCTCTCTCCTCCATCTCACTATCACACACGTACGCGTGCTCTCTCTCTCTCTCTCCTCCTCCTCCATCTCGCTATCACACATGTGCACTCTTCTCCTCCTTACTATCACACACGCGTGCTCTCCTCCTCCTCCATCTCGCTATCACACACACACGCTCTCCTCCTCTATCTTGTTTCATCACATACCCATTCTCTTTACCCTTGTTGTTCTCAAAACACTCACCATCAAGAAGACAGAAAGGAAACAATACTATTGCATATTTTTCAACATTTTATTTTCCCAAATAACAAACACTGAGAGACAAAGAGATCCAAGTGCAACATTGATGCATCTCTCCATTAACTCAGCTACATTTAGCAACAAGAGCCAATTTTGCAATTCCACTCATTACTTAAGCACTGACTTGTTAACCAAAACCCTATCAGGTAGAAGTATCGGCACAAACAGTTGCTAAATTCTTCCCTGGTTTCATTTTCCCAAAGGCTTCCTGTCAGCAACATTCCTTCCAGGATCTGGCAATTTCAGCTGCAAGCCAAAATTTACAGTTCCTTTGAAAATGATTAATACAGAGATTTATACTCTTGTGCACCAAAAAACCAATTTTTTTCTTTTGTTTTGTTTGAAATTCATCCTGGTTGCATACAAATTTAAGTTTAAATTTACAGTCAGAGAAAAATACAAAGGAATAAACAAATCAGATGTCTCTGGTTTGTGTTTATAGAAGGAAGGATATTAATTAATATTCCTTCTAGATATTTTCTTCAAAATAGTATTTTTTTTTTTTTTTTTTTTATTAGGGTGGCATTTTTTAATTCCAAGGTTCATTTGATTTATATGAGTTTAGTGAGTGAGCTATCCCAGTAGAGGTCTGTTGTGTTCATAGATGTAGGCTTTTAGGTTTCTGGAAGTTTCACCTACATAGTTCTCATGGCTTCATTGACAAAATATATATATATATATATATATATATATATATATATATATATATATATATCACAGCTTCCAATGTAGTGTTGATTCTGTTTTTGCTGATCAAATCTCTGATTGCCGTAGAGATGGTGGTTATGATCCTAAAAACTAGCTACTTTCCTATAAATATTTTCATGATAATTGTTCTGATGAGCTTTCCTCTTTGGTACCTAGAATTTATGAATCTAAGCCATAATACAGCTTAACTCTGCCTTTTCTATAAATATTTTCATGGTAATTGTTCTGATAATCTTTACTTTTTGGAACCTTGATTTCACAAATTTATGTGCAATATCAGATCAATGCTAACAATTTTTACTCTTATATTTCTTGCTTGCTGGCTTCTTGTTTTCCAGTCAACTTTGATCTTCAAAAGTTTAAATGCAATGTCAATCATGACCTTCAACCTTTTTTAATCCTGTTCTTTTATTGTTCTTTCACTCTCAGTAACCCCCTTGTATCTTAGTGGCTTTATTGCCTTGCTTGGCATGAAATTATAAATATATAAAAAAATTTTCATATTAAAACTTTACCCTGGATTCAATGAGTATGCATACTAAACTTCAGAGTGGTACATAAAATGATTTCAATAGATAAACTTTTCTTATAACAGAAAAACAATCAGTCTGTTTCAGTACATAGGGGTTATTGCAAAGTTCTAGCCTGAACCATTTCCCAAAATCTGACCAAAAATCAAAATTTGAGAAGGGATTTTCAGTCAGGCAGAGAATTTTTCAGCACCTCTTTTATAAATATATGAATAAGATTGCACTGGAAATTGTTTTACTATAAGAATGTATGGGAAATGCAACGTTCTTCATGGCTGAGTGATAAAGCATACCAGATCAAACATGGTTTCCTCTACAAAAGAGGATACCGGTTCAATCCCTGCCAGTGAACACATTTTCTTTAATTAGATTTCTCAAATACACAGGCCAATAGATGTAATACACAAGGTTTAATGGAAATTTGGCATCTATTTCAGGTACGATGTATCCACTAAAAGATTTGAAGTAATAAAAACGTCAGATTAAAAATAAATTCATTCTTTAGAAATTACACATATTTAAGATCTGATAAGTGAACTCAAGCTTTTCAGAAATCTCCACAAATATCAAGATATAAATTGTAATTACATGTATAAAGCAGGAAACTCTTTGCCTATTGAGTTTCAAGTTGATTGAAATTACTAGTGTTTAGCAGGGGTTTGTCTGCAGAACTTCAAATTTGTTAAAGGAAAATATACTTGATATTTGATTACATCAGAAAAATCTCCTTTAAAAACAGCTGTATTCATTTGATACAAAATGTAGGAGTAAAATTTCATGTTATTTATATAAAAATCAACTTTACACAAAAAAGAAAAGAAAAGGAAAAGAAAAAGAAAAAGAAAAGAAAAAGAAAAAGAAAAAGGAAAAGGAAAAAGGAAAAGAAAAGGAAAAGAAAAAGAAAAAGGAAAAGGAAAAGAAAAAGAAAAGAAAAAGAAAAAGAAAAGAAAAAGAAGAAGAAAAGAAAAAGAAGAAGAAGAAAAGAAGAAGAAAAGAAGAAGAAAAGAAAAAGAAAAAGAAAAAGAAAAGAAAAAGAAAAGAAAAAAGAAATAAGGAAATAATGAGCTCTGTCCTTTTAATACTTTTATTTCTCTTTTTAAAAGGCAATTAATTTTCCGCCTTATAAGTTAGGGAAATTGAAATCCTATTTCCTAAGTGTGTCTGTTTTAATAAAAGCTATTTTAGTCTCTTGATCTGTCAGGAAACAGAAGCAAGCTGACATTTTACTAGGTTTAAGTAGAGAGGAAAATCAAATAAAATATTGTTAAAATTTTGTCCAATATTTTCTATCTGCTCAGCAATTTTTATCTATTTATAATGAGATGCTGAAAGATTTTTTAGGACCCACAAACTTCTGAGGAAGTGACCAAAAATCAATTTTTTTAATCTCTCCTTGGGTAGAGAACTTTTCAGCACCCTTCTGACATATTGTATTTATCTATGTGACTGACCACCTGAGAAAGAGGCAGGATCACTCACTCATTTCTGGTACTAAATTTGAATAGTGTTACAAATAACTATAAAGAGTATACTCTAAAAGGGTTTAAAATAGTTTTTATATATATTATGAAATGGATTAAATCCAACAATTATTTAATGTTTTCTGTTTTTATGTTATTTTTTATAGATACAATTTATTTAAGTAAATGCTCTGCTTTTTAATTAAACAGTATTAATTACATTTATTAGCCTGAATGTTCAAGAAGTTTCATAGAAAATATGCATTCTAAAACTGGAATCAAATCTGTACCTTATATGGAACTATCATTTGATGAAATGAGTCTCATGTACAGGACACAGGCTTGAGATATATATATTAAAGAGAAAAGATGTCACAATAGTTTTTGGTTATAATGTGGATTTTTTTTTAATATATTATTTTCAATAGAGAAAATAAAATATAATATATAAAAAATCTACATTATAACCAAGAATGTTTGCAGCATCTCTCTCTAAAATATACATTTTTCTCCTCTCTCTCTCTCTATAAATATATATATGTGTGTGTGCATATGTCTGTGAACATGGCTAAGTGGTTAGAACGTTCACTTTCTGACCATGAGACCCAGGTTTGACTTTCACCATGGTCGATTTGTCAGGAAGGTGACTTCTTAATGTTATTGGTGCTGGGGAGGCAATCCCAACATGCAGCATCTTTGGAAAGTGCATGAAAACCACACCACGGTTTGACCCAAGCCTTCTGAGTGAAATTGGATAGATGTAACTACTTGAGAGCCGTCGAAGGTCTGTTCAGTATAGTTGCAGTATAAATCACAGGTGGGCTCTCTGGGTGTTTGAACAAATATAAAATGTGCCTGAAAAGGCATCTCTAACAAGAACTGGCTAGCCACCCTAGTAGATGGGCATCCTCGGATACAAGAGGCCAGTTTTTATATATATATATATATATATATATTACAGTGTTACCCGGATATAAGAGATTTTCTCTGGTCCCAAAGTCTTCCCATACTTACCTAAACAAAATAGACCAAACCCGGATATAAGAGACTTCTTCTCCAATCCCGACAACTCTCTTATATCCGGGTTACACTGTGTGTGTGTGTGTGTGTGTGTATATATATATATATATATATATATATATATCACAGCTGTTTAAAATGTGTTTTTGTCCTATAGAAAAATCCAAGATGCCGCTTGAACAAAATATTCAGGGAATAATCCCATTCATCAGTAACATTTTAAACCCCTCATAGAATGTAAAGTTCTCAAAGCAAACCTGTGCCAAACTGTTTTCCTGAATCCTTGATGATTTGGCTGTCTGAAAATGACATCAAGATGAAATAATGGAAAATGACCGTGGAAAGCAAAATTATGTCTAACAAGTTTTCAATCAGTCAGTTAACTTCTAGATGTTTTGGGGCCATGGAATTATTCACTGGTAATTAATCTTTCATTTAGCTGTGAAAAATGTCACTCAAGGGTTAGTATTAAAAAATTATGGCCAATTTTCTGAGAAAAATCATTTCTTTTTTTTTTTTTATGAAAAAATATTTCATTTTACTTTAAAATAATTTTTTTTTTCAAACTTCAATCCTTTCTCTTTAAGTCAGTGTAAATATCATTGAATAAAACAAACTGCTATATGACCTGACAATGGGAAATATGAAAGAAATGTGCAAAAAAAAAAAAAAAAAAAAAAAACGTCGTCTGTTAAATGTTGTTATCACCGGGGGTTACGAGATGTTAAAAAACAAAACAAAACACATCAAGCCATTGTTCAAACATAGATTTGAAAAAAAAATTAAAAATTAAAAAAATAAAAACACATATCAAGTCGTTTTTACCAATATTCCCCCCCCCCTTTTTTTTTCACTCTTTGCTCTTATCTTGTAAGTGGTGGGATTTACAAGTTGACAATAACAGCTTGTTCTCATATTTATCCCGAGCTGGCTGGCCTTTGACCCAGACATGTCAAAGTCAACTTGGTTTAATTTTCCTTATAACTGGTATTTTTTTTTTTTTTTAAACTCCTAGTTTCTGGTGGTCAAGAACTGAGGATAAATCTTTCACCTTTTATTCAAGATTTCCATAGCTGGGTGTCAATTTTTTATAACCCCTGGTGGCTATATAATTGAAAATTACCAATGGACTTTGTTGCATTTTAACCCCCTAGGAATGTTGTTTTCCTTCAAACTCTCAATTTTATGCCTGGAATTGTTTGATTATGATTTAGGCTTTCTGATTTAAAAAAAAATAAAAAATAAAAATAAAATAAAAAAAAATAAAAAAAAATAAAAAATGGTTAGTTTCCTATTATTGGGGAAATTTTTGTTTAGAACGAGAAAAGACTCACCTTCCTGACAAATTGACCATGGTGAAAGTCAAACCTAGGTCTCATGGTCAGAAAGTGAATGTTTGTATGTGTACACACACAAAAATTCAAATTTTAGTACAACCAACAAAAAAAAAAAAAAAAAAAAAAAAAAAGAAGAAAGAGAATTTACTACCAAAATGCAAGAAAGCCTATACATGAAAAGAAACTAAGACAAAAAGACCAAAAGGCAAACACCTACTTAAAATATAACCAATATTGCTCTATGCCTAGATGATTAAGACAGAGTAAAAACACTTCACAGAATCACACCTCAAGACACAAATTTCAGATCACTACTAATCTGCAATTTCTGCCTATTTAAAAAAAAACAAAACAAAAAAAAACTATTTCTAATCAATTTAAATTGGTTTTGAAATAAAGTATTTTGCTTTGAAATGAAATTAAAACTAAAATAAAAGCATCAATAAAGATTTTTCATTTTTAAAGATACATTTTAAACCTTAGGTATCACTTTTCTTTGGAGTTATCTACATATATATATATATATGTGTGTGTGTGTGTGTGTGTGTGTGTGTGCTTTTTCTATAAATACTTTTATGGTAATTCCTCTAATGAACTTTCTTCTATGGTATCTAAACTTCATGAATTTAAGTGGAGTACTAGATTGGCAGCAAGATCTATTTTACAGTTTAAATGGCTAGATGTAACCAAAAGTTCTATGCTAACAGTTTCTTCTGTTGCACTTCTCGCTTGTGGAACTACTCCAGCTTCTTGCATCCCAGTCAACTTTGATCTTCAAAAATTTAAATGCAATGTCAATCATTATCTTCTTTCCTTAATTCTTGTTCTTTTATTGTCCTCTCTCCATATATAGTATGTTTTTCTCATTCTCTAACACTCAGTAACTCCTTGCATCTTAATGGCTTTATTGCCTTGCTTGATGCGAAATAACAAAAGAAAATGTATGCATTAGTAGAATTTACTGAATATAAGGCTTGAGAGTAGCTCAAAGTAGAGGGTTATTGTTAAACAACTGCAATGATGACCGAGGTTTATAATATAAATGAAAGAGATGATGGTAGAAAGTGAAAGTGAAGGTAAAGAGTTTGCAAGAGCATTGTCATTAACTTTTTGGTAACTTGGTTTGTTTAATTCAGCTTGAAGATAAAAATCTTAGACAAGTACATCTTACTTATTATAAAATGCAGATTGTGTGTGTGTGTCTGTACATTTATATATTGGATCGGATTTTCTACATTTTTCAACCGATTTCAACAAAACTTCACAGGAGTGTGTAAAATTAGCTTACAGTGGTTCTGACAGTGCCAAAAATTGGAAAAACAATTGTTTTTGCACAAAATCAATTATAAAACACGATTCTGTCGCCAGAATGAAAGGGGGACAACTCATATCGTTACACTTATTATAAAACCTAGGTTGTGTGTGTGTGTGTGTGTGTGTGTGTGTGTGTTCATTTATATATGGGATCAGATTTCCTACATTTTTCAACTGATTTCCACAAAACTTCACTTTTTTTTTGGCAGGTAGTGTTTCTTATTGTCTTACACACTTTTTTCTTTATTTTTACATTCAGAATGCTTTAAAAATTTAATTTACAAGACAATTGTTTATAATAAAATTCTATTCAATCAATAGACTCATAACGATTGAAAACAATGTTTTTGTTTAAGTTTGACCAATTCGTAAAAAAAAAAAAAAAAAAAAAAAAAAACTAATTAAGACATGCGTGTCTGTCAACCTTAAACAATAATCTTTGTCAATTTTATTTTTCAGTCTTTATGATGGTCGATACTTGATCTATCTCTTACTGTTACATTCCCGGGCAATGCCTGGCTCTCCTGCTAGTATTCTCTTATCTGAAATAATTGAAACCAGGCATTTTTGGAAACTGGACATTTTTTCAGATTTTGGAATGTAGCTATATAGACACTTATATAGTGTAGGCTAATCAGTTGTGAGGAAAGAGTAATACATCTGCAATAAATGCTGCAAATATTCACATTTAGTAAATTAAGACCATTTGTAGAGTGATCATAAAATGCGATAAATAGAATCCATAAAATTATTGGCATATTTACTGTTAGTTAAAAAATAAAAAGATCCAATGATCAAGCAGAAATCACCCACTTTTCAAATTGTGACTACTACTACTATGTGCTGCATCCCTTCAGGACATAGGTGATCATGGCTCTCCACAACTTCCTATCCTTGTGCCTCTTCAGTTTTTCTCCTTTTGTTAAGATCTCTCTCATTCCACCATCCATTCACACAATCTTGTCAGGGAAATGGCTTGCTGCTTTTCCCTATCTCTCTTGCCATTAATATGCCCCATGAGTGTTAAGTCTTCCAAGCTCTCAAATTTAGTCTGTCTCTTCCTGATTCTGAATAAGTGTTCTTTCTGTTGCTATTTTCTTTAAGACTTCTTTGTTGCTTACCTGATCCGTCCATAGAATTTTCAGTATCCTTCTGTAGAACCACATTTCTTCTGCCTCATGTTTTCTCCTCATTTGTGAGAGAGATTGTCCAACATTCACTGCCATACAAGAGGATGGATATCTCATGGCAATCCAGCATTCTTTTCTTTCTCTCTAACAATTTTTAATGCAATATTCACTCACAAAAAAATAAATATTCTTACAACCTGAAATGTGTTTTGGTTTTAAATAATCCACAAAGGGGTGATAAGCCGTAAAAAAAAAAAATAAAAGCAAAAATGAAAGATTAATCAATCAACAATCATCAGTACGTTCTCGCTTGGGATATGACCCCACATTTTTAACGCAATTGATGTACTATTTGTATGTGAACTCCTCTGGAGCTGTACATAGGAAATCATGGTTCTCCACAACTTCCTATCCATTGTATCTATTAGCAATTGTTCTCCCTTTGTTAATGCTCCAACTCTGTTATGCCATTCATTCACACAAGCTGGTCAGGTAAGTGGCTCACCACTTTCTCCTATCTCTCTTGCCATCAGTATGCCCCATGAGAGTTAAGCTTTCCAAGATTTCCTTCCTCATTATATGCTCAAGGAATTTCAGCTATCTCTTCTGGATTCTGAGTAGAAGTGTTCTTTCTGTTTGCCATTTTCTTTAAGACTTCCTTGTTGCTTACTCTCTCCATCCATAAAATTTTCACTATCCTTCTGTGGAAACATATTTCTGCTGTCTCTAGTTTTCTCCTCATCTGTGGGAGAGATTGTCCAACATTCACTGCCATATAAGAGGATGCATATCCCACAACAATCCAGCATGTTTTTCTTTGTTTCTAACCAAATTTTTCCCGTTTTTCAGTACCTTGCTTAGATTTTGGAAGGTCTCTTTCATTAGTGTAATGCATCTTTGGATCTCGCTGCCACATTTTTGATTAGTTTGGTATATTTTGTTTTACAGCATATCGACACCTCAATGGGTTATTTAATACCAACAAGATTTTTAGGATAGGTTCGTATGAATAGAATATGTATTATTTCTAAGAAATCAGTTTGTAAATCATTTTTCATTGATCTATTTTTGTAAAGAGGGTTTTTGTCAAGAATCAAATGCATTGCTGGTAAAAATTTTCTGAATGTATTGCTGTTTTTTTTTTGTTTTTTTTAACTATAAAAATCTATTTTTATCCTTTCATAGTATTTTGACCCCAGTTTGGGGGTTTACTATTTACCCATAGCTGGAACCCTAACAGGTGCTACCACCCCAGGACCTAGGAACAACAGGAATTAAAAGAGGGTTTCATGCTCCTCAAAACCTCCTAATCAGAGGCCTTGCTGCTGGATATAGTTTATCATCATACCAAGGACATTGCATTATTGATACTCTGTTAAAACACTCCTGAATATTTAGACTTCTGCACCTGCTTAATGTAAACATCTGAAATTTGTAACACACATTTTGAGCTTTTCCTCTTGCTGATGAACATACTTTGTCTTCTTGCAGTTGAACATTAATCCTTTTTGTCTTGTTATCTTTTAATACTTTGTCTAGGAGGTTCCGTAGTTTTTTTCCAAGTCAGCCATCAACACAAATTGACAAAAATTTAATATTTTCTTTTAATCCATTCTTGTACATTCTCTTATATAGTACTACAATAATTTTAGATTGTGGTGTATGTTTGGAGCCTTAAATCTCATGTCAGATAGTTTTTGATACTTGGTGGTTATGATGGGCTCATACTGATTTAGATAATTTTGCATTTTCAGTTGAGGAATTACCAATATACTTTTTAAGACAATGGTCTAGTGAGTATACAAGTTGGTTAAACATGTGTTGCGATCATCTGGTGATTCTGAGTTCAATCCTTAGATCAAGAAATCAAATATAATCTGGTTCATCTGTTGATTATTATACTGTTTTGTTCTCATGGTGCCAGTTCTTCAGAATGGCTGATTTGGTCACCCAATTATCACAAAGCGTGTAGAGCATTGTGAAGATTCACATTAGCAAACAGTAATTTACTTTGAACATTAGAATGAACAAATGACTTGTAAAACTAGCTTCCAAATATAACATTGTTTAAATTTTTAAGGATCTTATTAGTTGTATAAAATTTTATTATGGCGATAAAAATGGACATAATTTTAAAAAAAAGTCAAGCAAAGAAAAACCTCACCTAGAAGCAAGGAAAAAGGAGAGAGAGAAGAGAGAGAAGAGAGAGAGAGAAAAAAAGAAAGAGAGAAAAAGAGAAAGAGAAAATAGGAAGAAAGAGAAAATAGGAAGAAAGAGAAAATAGGAAGAAAGAGAAAATAGGAAGAAAGAGAAAATAGGAAGAAAGAGAAAATAGGAAGAAAGAGAAAATAGGAAGAGAAAAAGGAAGAAAAGAAAAAGGAAAGAAAGAGAAAATAGGAAGAAAGAGAAAATAGGAAAAAAAAATATGAAAAAGTAGGAAAAGGAAAAAAAGAAAAAATCAAATGAGAGAAAAGAGAGAGAAAAGAGAGAGAAAGCTAGAGAGAGAGAGAGCTAGAGAGAGAGAGAGCGAGAGAGAGAGCTAGAGAGAGAGAGAGAGAGAGAGCTAGAGAGAGAGCTAGAGAGAGAGAGAGAGCTAGAGAGAGAGAGAGAGCTAGAGAGAGAGAGAGAAAGCTAGAGAGAAAGCTAGAGAGAAAGCTAGAGAGAAAGAGAGAAAGCTAGAGAGAAAGAGAGAAAGCTAGAGAGAAAGAGAGAAAGCTAGAGAGAAAGAGAGAAAGCTAGAGAAAGCTAGAGAGAAAGCTAGAGAAAGCTAGAGAGAAAGAGAGAAGAGAGAGCTAGAGAGAGAGAAGAGAGAGAGCTAGAGAGAGAGAAGAGAGAGAGCTAGAGAGAGAGAAGAGAGAGAGCTAGAGAGAGAGAAGAGAGAGAGCTAGAGAGAGAGAAAGAAAGAGCTAGAGAGAGAGAAAGAAAGAGCTAGAGAGAAAGAGAGAGCGAGAGAGAAAAAACGTCTACAATAATTAACACATTAAGGGTGATATCAACAGTCCAAATATTTCCATAAATCCTTTCAAAACATTTCTATAAAAAAAAATTAGGAAAAATTAAAATTGGCTAATAATTAAACATTATGTGTATATATTTGTGTGTAACATTTTTCAAGTAGCACCTGTGTAGTATCCGTATACTACACAGATCAATATTTACCTATGTGACATATGGTTGGTTTCATCTAGTTACATACATACATACATACATGCATGCATGCATAGAGGCCAAAAACAAACAAAAATGTCCAGTCCCTGCAACCATTGTCCCACAAGAGTCAGAATATTCCCAACCACTCTTTGATACAAAGGGGAAGTTGCTGTTGTATATATGGAATCCCTGGGACTTGGATAACCTAATATGACATCATGAAGTATCCAAAGACAAGAATATAGCACCATATTAAGTCCAAAGAACAAGAATCCAACTGAGTAATGAAACAGATACTACACACTGATCTTTAGTAGAAAGCTGAAAGGTGACACATTGATCTGAAGGAGAGCACATTGATATTCTGATCCTCACCATAAATTATCCCATGATTTTTTACAGGCAATATGCTAATTTTTTATTTTGGTGCTTGCTTTATTTTAGTGTCTCCAAAAGCAAGAAACCATAAAAATTTAAATATCTTAGAAGTATTTTAACGGACGACAGAAAATGCGACACTGAAATCTAAAGTCACATTTGAATAGTGAAAAATGCCTTCTAAAAGCTAAGCTAAGAATTAAACAGCAAAATTTTGCTTGAAGCAAAGAAAAAGGTATTGAACTGTTATGTAATATTGGCAGTGAATGCTGAACAATCTCCTCACAGATGAAGAAACTCTAAGCAACAGAAATGTTGTTCTACAGAAGGATGCTGAGAATGTCATGGACCAAACATGTGAGCAACAATGAAGCTTTAGAGAAAATGGAAACAAAAAGACACATACTTAACATCAGAAAGAGAGAGTTGAAATTTCTAGGGGATATAATGAGGAAAGAGGGATTGGAAAATTTGATACTCACAGGACATATTGAAAGCCAGAAAGACAGAAGAAAGTAGTGAGTAACATACCTAATGAATTTGTGTTGGCAGAACAGGTATTAGGAGAGAGAGCAAAAACAACTTTAAAGCTACAAAAAACAGGAAGTTATGGAGAGCTATAATTTCCCACATCCTGAACGGACATGGCACATAAAATAGTATGCTATTAACTGTAATAAATGAATTTGATCCTCAGTGGGTGCCCTGCATGTGGCTTTGTGCCTGACAAAGTTTACTGAATATCGATTCAAGATGTTAATGCATGTGAAAAGAGAATTTGATAAGTAAAAACATATCTGTGCATATATATTTTGTCTGGCGTATATTGAAGCATTCCCTCTCTGATGGCCCAGATATTTACATTTAAACAGGAATTCCTTATAAGCAAGCAGAATCTTGCACAAAATATGCAGAAGTTGTCACTCTACCTAAGAAATTCTTTCCTTCAGGGGATGCAATTTCCTCTAGGAGCTAAAATAAGCAAAGGAACTGTAGCTAAGAGATAAGATTTCCCCAGTGCTACAAGATGGCAGTAAAGTTTCAGTAGAGAACATAGCATCCTCTACCAACATCTATTATTACTCAACCCAGCACTGACTGTAGGTAGAAACCCTGAGGAATGTCACAGATGTATTCCTGAATCTGATATGAGAGAAGGTAAATTCTTCTAATAATGACATCAAGTCAGTAAATGTGATTGGGACAAAAATGATGATGCTATTCTTAGCAACAATACTGAGTTTACAAATCTCTAGTTTCAGTTGGTTTTCAGTGGATATTAAGTGACAGCAAGTTTCCTAAATATTCCAGCACCCTCCTCAGTATTCTTGCTGATTTTAAAAATGCTACTGTCTAAATTGAAGATGTCAAAATAAAACAAGGAAATTTAAATGGAAAGTGTTATTTGGTTTCGTTTGTTTTACAGCACATCAACCAATTGAGTTATTTAATGCCAAAATTTAATTTTTTTTTTCCCCAAATAAAGTCTTGTATTTAAACAGTCAAAATTTTTTTTTTATTTTAAATACACTACCATTTGTTATGGTTACTCTTTTTCCTTATATTTTTGAAATCAGCTTAATTTCTCCTCGAAACTGAAATATGTAAAATGAATCAGTATTTTGTAAAAGTTCTTTTAAATTTTTTGTTTGGTATTATCTTAAGCAGATTGAATTAAAATGGCTGCAGTTTATCATTATGTGTTTTATGGTGAATGGTTCTTGGCATGCCACACATAGTAACAGTAAGAGATAGATCAAGTATCGACCATCATAAAGACTGAAAAATAAAATTGACAAAGATTATTGTTTACGGTTGACAGACACGCATGTCTTAATTAGATTTTTTTTGTTTTTTTTTAAGAATTGGTCAAACTCAAACAAAAACATTGTTTTCAATCGTTGAGTCTACCAATTGAATAGAATTTTATTATAAACAATTGTCTTGTAAATGGAATGTTTAAAGCATTCTGAATGTAAAAATAAAGAAAAAAGTGTGCAAGACAATAAGAAACACTACCTGCCAAAAAAAAGTAAAGTTTTGTTGAAATCGGTTGAAAAATGTAGGAAATCCAATCCCATATATAAATGAACACACACACACACACACACACAAACAACCTGGGTTTTATAATAAGTATAACTCGATATGAGTTGTCCCCCTTTCATTCTGGCGAGTGATGCCTCTTAATCATGTTTTCAAATTGATTTTGTCCAAAAACAATTGTGTTTTTCCAATTTTTGACACTGTCATAACCACCGCAAGGTAATTTTACATAGTCCTGTGAAGTTTAGTTGAAATCGGTTAACAAATGTAGGAAATCCAATCCAATATATAAACGTACAGACACACACACACACACACACAATCTGCATTTTATAATAAGTAAGATGAATGGGTTATGTTAGTATGCCTAATATGGAGCCTAGGCATAATCACTTCTCTTCTAGTTTGGCATTTCTGATGCCATTCTCCTATCGTTGGTTTTATTTTGAACCATTTATTATTGGGGTAAGAGTTCTATGGGTTCTGCCACTCCTCTCTAATATATTTATTGATTATTGGTTTCAAGTTTGTATATGGAATTTTGGTATCTAAGGTGTCCGATTTGTTTCTTATAATTAATACCCTTCTTGCTAAGGAATCTGCTCTATTGTTCCTTATGATACCAATATGGCTTGGTATCCAGCAGAAGACAATATCACTATTTAAGTTATTGGTCCTGTTGAGTAGTTTAATGATGAGTGGATTTGATTTTTGTTTTTTTAGTGTCGTGATCACTGATATAGAGTCAGTGTATGAAAAGTGTTATAACAGACAATAGAAAATGTGACACACAAATCCAAAAAGGTGCATTAGAATAGCAAAAGATGCCTTCCAAAAGCTAAGCAAAGTATTAAGAAAGAGGAAAATTTTATTAAAAACTAAGTGTTCTGAACTGCTATATAATACAGTGTGACAGAAATACTTACCACATAATGATAAGACATTAGTGGTAATAGTGTCTTCATCTAGCTAATGTCTTACCATTATGTTGGAGGTATTTCTACCACACACTGTATCTATCCTATATGGCAGTGAATGCTTAAACTTCTCACTGACAAAAAGAGACTTGAAACACAGGTGGGTATACCAAACTGTATTCATTATTGATAGATGTAATCTTAAGATGACCAATGATACTGTGCTGATGGCAAACAAAAAAGAAAACTGCAGGACAAGATAGTCCCTTTTTCTAACTTTCCTTTACTATCAATTGTAAGAAGATAAAATATATTGTTGTTAGCAACAGGGATCACCTAAAATACAAACTATCAATTGGAGACATTAAAATAAAGCAAGTACAAAAATTTAACTATCTGGAAATCGTTGTAAGAGATAATGGAAAATGTGACATAGAAATCCAAAAAAATCCAAAGAAAGGTGCCTTCCAAAAGCTAAGCAAAATATTAAGAAATAGGAAAATTTCATTAGAAACAAAGATAAGAGTACTCAGCTGATATGTAATATCAATCCTTCTATATAGCAGTGAATGATGGACAATTTTCTCACAGATGAACAGGAAACTTGAGCAACAGAGATTTGGTTCTACAGAAGGATGCTGAGGATACCATGAACTGAATATGTGAGCAACGACAAAATTTTAGAGAAAATGGAAACATCAAGACATCAGGAAGAGACGGTTGAAATTTCAGGGCAGGTAATGTGGAAATAGGGCTTGGAAAATCTGATACTCACAGGACAGATTGAAAGCAAGAGGGTGTCATATAGGACATAAATGAATGGAATCATCTGTTTATGTAAATAAGCAGAGTTAAATGAAGTTGAGGAGAGTTAGCATTAGGCCAATTGCTAAGTGTACCTTTGTGTAGTAAACCTTCTATTTCATTAATTACCTACAAGTTGGTCTTTATTTATTTCTCTTATCTCAAAAACACAAGATACAAGAGAGGGAGATGGATGGATGTTGGATTTAACGGCATGTCAACTCCTATTAAGAGAGGGAGAGAAGAAAACAATGCATAACATACCTCGTGAGCTTGATTAAATAGATGGCAGAACATGGTTTAGGAGAGCTAACAAAAAGACAAAATTTATTTAGAGTTACAAAGGACAGGAAATTGTGGAGAGCCATGATCGTTAATGTCCTGAAGAAACAGCAAAAGACGAACAAGCTGTGTAAATGAATGACAAAACAGGGTTCAGTAGAGATAAGACAAAATTTAGTAAGCTATAAAGAACAGGAAATTGTGGAGAGCCATGATCGTAAATGTACTGAATGACAAAGTTTTAAGGAAAATAGGAATGGAAAGGATACCTTTGCTTAGGGTTAGAAAGAGGCAGTTGAAATTTCTGGGACGGAAGGAAGGAAGGAAGCAGCAAAGGTGGAAGATGACACTGGTATAGAACACAAAATTCAGCACCATGGTCAAGAATCCATAATAGCTTTATGAGATTTTAATTTGGTATCTTTAAGCTATTGTTAGTTTAAACCTGTTTGTGAAGTCTTCCAAAGGCTTGGTTTGCTTTTGCCAATCAAAGAAATAAAAAAAATCTCTTTTATAGAATTAATATTGATATATTACAAAGTATTGTTTTATATTACTTCTAATATTGTATTTAGTGGATACACATTTGGGGAGACATCTCTTTCTAAATAGTGGAATTTTATGCCTACAGGCCTATGCACTTGAGTCTTAATAAAGAAAATATGCCTTCCAGTAGTGTTCAACCTTGCATCACCCTTATAGACAAAACTACTGTTACATTTGGCATGCTTTAAACCACTATGACAAAGAACTTTCATGAGAAAGCAAGGTTCAATTATCCATATGGTCTTTACCTAAATGAAGAGAACACGGGTTCAAACCCTGCCAAAGGGCACATTTTCATTATTTAAAAACTCCTGAGAATCCAAGCCAATAGATGACAATTAAACTGATTAAAAAAACAGAGATCTCTACTGAAACACATGTATTTACTGAATATAAAGCTTAAAATAATAAGATATGGATTAAAAATAAAATTTCTTTAATTTCTTGAAATTCCCTATAAAGTATTATTAAAATACATTAAGTTTAAGAAAGGATTAAAAAATATTTAATATTTTTATTGTTTATAAAGATTTTTTTTCAAAATTCAGTAGAGAACAACTTATCTTTTTTGTCCAAGGATGCTGATGTCACAGACTACAAGAAATGTTCAGAATCCATTTTTTCATTTTCAAAGAACCAATTTCCAAAAGCACTTACCTGCAAGTAAATAAAAATATAATTATTTTAACATGAAAAGGTTTCAAGTTGATACAATAATTTCTCAAATCTACAGATCGGTTTTACCACCTAAAAGAAATCAAATTTTTCTACATTAGAGAAGACAAATATTAAATCAATAAGAGTCAGGATTGACAAAGTTTTTGTTTTGTCAATTTGTAAAAAAAAACAAAAATAAAGATGTAATTTTAGCATTATTTAGACTCGACACATGGCACAGTGGACAAAAGGCATTGATTAGATCCAGTGACAGGACCCAAAGAGTGTTAGTTTGATACCCAGTTAAGGCAGTGGAGAACTTGGAGATGGGAATTAACAGGAGATAACCGATAACTGACATCCATTAAACATGGCATGTGGAACCAGAACAGTCTACCCTAGTGAGTGAAATAATGGGTTTAGTTTGACATTCTAACCACCTGAAGAAGGCCAGAGCATGCAACAGCCGAAACATTGTAATAAATATGGTGACAAAGATGAGGACAATAGTCCAAATAATGCAAATAGTGTACATAATACCTCATCTCAGAAATATAGACAGATAATTTTAGCATTTTTTAAATTTTGCTTTTCATATGTGATATCAAAGGACATCACTCTAAATAAGTGTATATTTAATTCTCATATTTTTTAAAAACTAACCTTTTCTTTATTAGAAAAGGTTATTTTTTAAAAAATAAAAAAACTCTGAGATTTTTGCACCAGACCAAAAGATTTTTAGCACCTTCTCTCCATACATACATGGCACATTTGTGAATACAAGACTTCTTTGAAAGAACTAAAATTAATTCCATATGGTCTTATTAAAACATCATATGCTGCCAACTAAAAATAAAAACAAAAACAAAAAAAAATGGACTGACAGTAGAAAAGATAAAATGCACAATTTGTCTTCCAAAGACCATTTC